CCCCCCCCCCCCCCTCCCGCCAAAAAAAAAAGGAAAGAAAAACCAATATGCTTGAGGGGGTTACACTCCTGGAATTAGGGTAAAATGGAATTGTGCCTCAAGATTTGGATAAAGCAAAAAAGGGATTCTGCAGTCCCAACAATTCTTCCCCAAAATAGGCAAAAAAGAAGGAAGCATATTTCCCTGTACAGAAATTAATAATCTAAAAAGAGAATGACTTGTATGTCGGAAATTGCAACTTTGAATCATTGAAACTTGAAAGTTGAAAAAGAAAAGATGGAACATGTTTCTTGGAACTTTGTTATAAGCATCTTTCCATTTAGCTTCCAAACTTCCTTAATAAGAAAAAATGAGTGCAGATCCTACTTGAAATGTCCATATTTCTACTGGAAGTACATATTTCTTGAGCAGGGCTTCTGCTAAATTTCCAGTAACTTTTTTAACCATTTATTTGTTTGATTCTTGATTTCTTGTCTTTTTGGTTGATTTTACATCATCAGATCATCTCCTAGTAAGCATGCATCTGTGGGAGCAATGGGTGCAGTCAACATATAGAGAAAAAACAAACAAACAAACAAGATCTAATGACTGAGGCCATCTCTACCACTTATTTTAAAAGAATATCAGTATTAACTTTCGTTGTTTTCCGTATACCAGATAACGGGTATTTCTATAGTAATTTTTTGTAAAATTAAAAGAGATGGTGAAACTTTATGCAGCATATTAACTTTTTTGAGGCAGGATATTATGGAATGAAAGGACCCTTATTTGACTTTCTCCAAATATGTACTAGCTAGGTTGGTCCATTTTTTCCCTGATTTCTGTGATCAGTTTTTGTTTAAGTTCCATATTTTGTTGTCATAACTTGCTTATATAATTTAAGATAAACCTTGCAACATTAGGTTTCACGAATCACTAGAAAACTAGAATCTTACGGGAATTTTCTGCTCACAATGCAGCAACAAGCTGTCTTTCTGATGACAAAAATAAATTGGTCTGTTTTGGACAGTAAAATCTTCATATCATTTGGTTATTTATTTTTTTTTGCTTCTTTTTTATTTTAGAAGGGGTCAAAGGATTTCATTCTCCTCCCATAATGAGACTCGAATCCATGTTATTTGCTTGGTAAGGCTTCGTTCTTACATTTGACCTGAACGATGATGTTTGGTTGATTCTAAACATGTTTGGACAACAAATGATTTTGCCATTGAATATCATCGATGACTCGTGATTTGCATACAGGCACACACCTCAATGTGCGAGGCTTTTGTAGTAATATTATGTGGCTATTTGTTCAGAAATTAAAGAGCAGTTTCATCATCTTCATCGGGCTTAAATGCTGCAATCTGAAAGCTTGCAAGTGGTACAGGTGGTCCCTTGAACTTATCCATATATCATGTATAAGCAACCATAACTTGTACCTTTTTCTATCCAATAGCATTATTCTTCAAGTTAACCTGATAATTGTAGCTTGAAATCCAAGACACACCTACGGACATATATCCAAAAAAATATACTTTGCGAAGGTTTTGTGATAATAAGAGCTAGGCACTTGCATAGAGAAGTTCAAAAGATATAAGTCGTATTTCAACCGACAACTCTTTGTCCTCAATCTGCTAATAGAAATTGGTGATCTACTTTGGTTATTCTACCAGTTGGGGTGTGCAAATCTTGACTGTTGTAATTGTCAGTTCCAAAGTAACGACATTAGTACAAGGGTAATTGGCTCACGTCCCTATTTTTGAATGTTTTTGTGGAAAACGTCCATACCTTTCGTTTTTTGGCGCAGAACGTCCCTACATTTCACATTCTTTGCGCTGAACATCCTTTTTACCAATTTTTACTATAAAATGATCATTATACCCTCATATATAAATACAACAAAAAATAAAAGAAAAATAAAGAATAAATTGCAATCTGCTCCTAAACTTTTTTTAAAAATGCAAATCAATCCAAAAAAGTGGCAATTTTTTGTCTTTTTTCCAGCCCAAATGCGTCGAAATTCCAACCGCTGACATCGGTCAACAGCCCTCCAATTCCCCC